CAAATCTTGAACCCGTTGATACGCGCCGGGAAAGTTTTGGTGTATATCGATGACATACTGGTCCCGACGGCAACTGTCAAAGAAAATTTAACATTATTAGAAGAGGTTTTGAGCATTTTTAAGTCGTACAATTTCAAATTAAATTATAGAAAATGTCGATTCCTGAAAAAGGAAATAGAATTTCTCGGATATATGTTATCGAGTAGCGGTATTACGTTAAGTCCTAGACACGTAGAGTCGGTCAGAAATTATAAACCACCTGCCAATGCACACGAGGTGCAACGGTTTTTAGGTTTAGCCAGTTATTTTCGTAAATTCATTAAAGACTTCGCACTTAAAGCGAAACCGATACAAGATCTTTTGAAAAAAGATACGGAATTTAGATTCAATAGTCGATGTATTGAGGCATTTGAGTTATTGAAGAAAGAGCTCACCTCAGCCCCGGTGTTAGCGTTGTTCGATCCGGCTGCAGAAACGGAGCTGCACACAGACGCGAGCAGCTTAGGCCTTGGTGCGATCCTACTGCAGCGGCAGAAGCACGGATCTTGGTGCCCCGTGGCTTACTTCAATAAGACCACTAACGAGGCGGAGCAGCGCTATCACAGCTTCGAGCTAGAAATGTTAGCCATTGTTAGAGCAGTGGAGAGATTTCATTTATATTTATATGGATTGCAATTTACAATAGTGACGGATTGCAGCGCGTTAGTGTATGCCGTTAATAAGGCAAATCTTAACCCACGTATAGCAAGGTGGACACTTACCCTTCAGAATTATTATTTTCGAATGGTCCATCGGCCAGGAAAGAAAATGGCACACGTGGATGCCTTGAGTCGTTGCGTCGGATTTGTAAATGAGCGGCCAATCGAACGCGAGTTAGAGTTGAGGCAGCTCACAGATCCTAGAATTAAAGAGATTAGCGATAACTTAGAGATTAGAGACAGCAAAAAATTTATTATGTTTAACGGATTAGTATATAAGAAAGCAGAAAATAATAATTGTAAGTTTGTCGTACCTGCTTCAATGGAGACGAGTCTAATTAGGGCCCATCATGATGATATGGCTCATTGCGGTCTAACTAAAACATTCGAGGGCGTTAATCAAAATTATTGGTTTCCGTCAATGCGTAAAAAGATTAACGAGTATGTGTCAAACTGCGTTACCTGTATGATGGCAAACGATGCCGTCAATCGTTTTGAAGGGGAGACATCTCTCTACCCCTCGTCGTCGATTCCGTTGGAAGTCCTCCATGTGGATCACTTCGGGCCGCTGGAAGGAACGATAGATCACTTTAAGCACATTTTTGTGGTTGTAGATGCGTTTACGCGCTTCACGTGGTTATGCCCGACGAAATCAACCACGACGCGCGAAGTGATAGAACATTTAAAGAACATTTTTTGTTTATTCGGTAAGCCGACAGAATTGATTTCGGACCGCGGAACCGCGTTCACGTCAAGAGAATTCGCGGAATTCATTGAAAAATTTAAAATTAAACACCGCAAAGTTGCAGTGGCTGCGCCTTGGGCGAACGGGAGAGTTGAACGCGTGAATCGCTTCATAAAATCCTCGTTAATGAAATTAATTGATACAGCGTCGCAATGGAAAGACGCTATCGGTCTGTTACAGTACATTATAAATAATACGTACCATACGGCAACGAAGTCCAGCCCGTTAAAATTATTGCTCGGATATGAGCAACGCAGCCACGCAGACTTTCCGTTTGCACGTCTCACTCGGGTCCTCGCCGGCATTGATACGGACCTGGATCTCGAGCGAAACGCCGCACGTACTACGGCGCACAAAGCGTCAGAGCTGATACGCGCCTATAATAAAAAATACAGAGATGTTAGATTTAGAAAACCTTCGGTGTATGAAGAAGGCGATTTAATATTAATCAGGAATACAAGGGCGAAGCCCGGCGAAAACGCCAAATTAAAGCCTAAATTTATCGGCCCGTATATTGTGGGCAAGAGTTTGGGTAATAACCGATATATAATTAAGGATATACCTGGTTTTAATCATAAGATGAAACCGCTGAACACGATCATGTCGAGCGAGCGGATGAAACCCTGGGCCAAACATGTGCCCGCCGCAGATGATCCTGAAATATAATCAGGCAATCAGCATTAGTTAGAGTTTAAGTTGCAATAAAATAAGTTACGATAGAATAAGTTGCGATAGAATAAGTGGCGGTAGAATAAGAATTTATAAAGAAATTATAAAACTAAAATGCTTACCGATGCGGCATGATGATACATGCACGATACACACACGAACTGCTTATAGCGCCTGCGTACTACAAATGGGACGTAGTACCTTAGAACATATATAAATGGAAGAGGAATTGCCTATATTGCTTACACACCGAGCCTGAAGCAAACATCTGTGCGAGAGAGATAGCTAAGACTCCCAAATGTTCACAATGCGCATGCGTTAGTATTGCCGCAGCGCGCCGCTTTCTTAGTTGATTTAAATCGAACAGATATTAATATAGACACATTGAAGAAAGATATATATTTATTGATGTTTAAAATGAATTAATTTTGAAAACTTATGTCTAATAAAATCTTTTTGTTCACATAATGTTGCACATTTGCCTTCGTGAAATAACCGTATATTGATATATGTTAAAATAATATTTTTTATCAGTGTGGTCTTGTGGTCATTTAATACTTCTTGTTGCATAATATGTTCTGTCATTTCGATGTCATTAAAAACTGAATGGCAGACAGTTTTGAATGTCCTTGTAATCAAAATATTTTTAATATTTTTTATAATAAAAATTTTATGTTTATTTTCCCGAATGGTCATTTCACATACTCGAGCTATTTTAATGACATCAACTGATGGAAAAATTAATTTTCCTCTATTTTTAATTTTATTAAAGATGAGTTGGTGGATTTGGCTATTAAAAAGCTCGAACAGACGTGGCAAATTCTTCGCAATAATTTTTTCACAATAAATCCACTAATATATTGGATCACCTCTTCAACATATGCACTCAGTGACCATAAGGTTGACAAATAATCGTAATCAAATATATTAGTAGATATTGTATCATCACCTTCTGTAAATAAACCATCGCTTACATTACTCATATTTATCGATGACACATATAAAATTTGGATATCATTAATTTCACAATTTCCGTTTTCTGATGCTTGAATTTCATGTCTTACAAGCAATCTTTTATAACTACTTTGAAATTGTTTTGCGTTAGGATTATTATTGAAACCTCCTTTGCTGCGTAGCGCACTAAAAAATGTTTTAAGGTGATCCTGGTTTAATTTATAAGTTAACAAATATGACAGTCCTTTTTCTTTAAGAATATTAAAAAGTTCGAACATATTTGTTAAGCAAACAATAAAACCGAGGAAACCTGTTTTTCTATTACCATGCAAAATGGATATATTGCTGGAATCTTGTAATAGTTGAATATATGCAATAATATCTTCTGCATAATTTTTTAATTTATCAAATGTTTCGTTTGAAAGAGCCATATTGCACTTTTTTATTTTACTAAACTTACTTCTCACATTTAACAAGTCAAAAGCATCATTAAACATTGTGCAAAATATAGCAGTTTCTTCCGGATGTTGAAATTTTTCAGGAACACATTCATGGCAAAATTTTAAAGCTGCACTAACACTCTCACTTAAAGTTTGAGCAGCCAACCTTACGTTCATACGTGCATTTTGAAACATAATGTGCTTTTTTGTAATTTTGTGCCACATTTTAAACCTTCAACTTCCTGTAATTTTTGCAGAGATATAATGTTTTCCCAAAGAATACTTTTTCCTTTATAACGAAGCTCTAATTTATCACCCAATGTATTCCTGACTAATTTCAACATATGACATTGATCTAAAAAACAATAAACTTTTTCTTGAGTAATAGGATGAATAAAATAAGGTTTAAAATTTTCCCCCAGTTGAAAATTTGCACCCAAATTATTGCACATGCTTAAATTTACATTTGTACCATCAAATGTTAGAGAGTGCAATATGACTCCAGTTTCATGAATAAGTTCCAAACATTTTTCTACTAAACTGGCTCTTTCCTTTCCGGTCATTGAATCAATAAGAAAATAACCTACAGGAACTTTCCAATGACCATTTAATGCAACTACCATTAAAACCAATGCACTCTTTGCTTTTCGAGGTTTATCTGAATCATTTTGATCTAAACCTACATCTACGTGTCCATAATATTGGTTACCATCGTAAAAGATATGTTCTCGTATTGCCATCTCGTCCATTATTAAATTGCAAAAAATCGGAGTTTTTGACTTTTCTACTTTACATTTTAAGGCATCCAAAACTTCTTTTGTAAATCCTGGTCGGCCATCTAATACCGAATACCATTTTCGGATAGTAGAAGGATCAGGGAGAAAATTGTTAAACGTTTTACGAACATATTTATATGCTTTAGCTGAATAAAAATTCAGCGTAAGAGCAAATTGTCTTAATTTTGCAGAATACTTTTTTCTTGCACCTTTTCTTCGTTGAAAAACATGATTTATCACCGCAGGAAGTTCAGCCTATATAAAACATGCATAATGTTATTATTAACTGAAAGGAAATGAATAACTGAAAGTAAGTTGAAAATAAGAAATTAGGAATAGTAGGAATGTGTAAAACGAATAAAACAAAATGATTATACAAACTTATAGTTTTTATTGAAATTATTGTACTTTAATAAATTTTACTACAATGATTTGCATATGTATATATAATTCACATATTTATTATTTATTTTATTTTATTATTTAAATATACAAATTCCTCATTCATTATTTTCTGATTTCCTTATATATATTTCGATCAATAAAAGATACATCCTACATTTAGTTTGCTAAAAAAAGAAAAAAACAAAATGAAAAGAAAAAATTTTGCATGATTATTTTATTTTTACATTTTCATTTTTTATTGCAATTTCTTTTTAATATCTTTGCATAATTTTCTGCAATTGCTTTGTACATTTTTTTACAATTTTTCTTCAATTTCAGTAAATGTCATTGGTAGAAAAATTGCAAAAAAATAGCAGAAACATTAAAAAATTGATTTAAAAAATTGATGAACGTTGTTTTACTCTATACTCATCTTTAACAAAACTGATAAAATTATACAATAGTTTCCCAAGAAGAACAGAAAGTCAAAATAATGTCATTTTGATATCATATTGACCAAAAATGACAAAAAATGTCATTTTTACGTCATTTTTTGGTCATTTTTTGGTCAATATAATGTCAAATAACATTATTTTGACTTTATTCTCCTTGGGTTCTCTACGGTTGGTATTTATTAGTCGGATTTTATATTTAAGATTGTCTTAAGTACAGTCTTAAAATGCCATAAACCAATCACAGAGCCGTATTAGCGTCTTAAAACATTATTTAAAACGATCTTACAATAAGGACGGACTATGAATATCGACCTATACACTTGAAATTACCATTAAATTTTCAGCAGTCGCTTCTGATAGTAGATCTTTTTGTTTCAAATGTCCTATTAATCCTTCCATTGTTTTTAGGCGAGTAACTAATCTCTTTTGTGATTGTTTTAAAGCTTTTATCTTTTTTTGTTGATTTTGTATGGTCTTCTTTGCTATATCTAAAGCTCTTTTAGCTCTTCTAGGTGTATAAATATGTGACATTTGAATGTCACCAACATAGCGAGGTACACGTACAGTTTTGATAGATGTTGAAAACACTCAATATTCCTAGAACTTAATGGTGTTGATGGCCGATTTGCTGCTATATTTTCTGGAATCAAGAAATATTAATCAATTAAAAAAAAAATTAATTATGAGAAATTTTACCTTTGTGAGATGCATTGTTAAAATACATATTTTCAATTTCATTGGTGGCAATTTGATTTGTTCTAATCTCTTCTGTAACTTTTTCAGTCTCGACAATGATTTCATCAGTGGCAATTTGATTTGTTCTAGATTCTTCTGCAACTGTTTCAGTTTTGGCAGTTCTTTCATAACTTGACGGTGGAAAATTTATTGTTGTATAATTTTCTGTGAAGATGATTATTAATTAATTTATTGTCACTCCATTAATCAATTTACGAGTCATTTCAAGTAAAGATATAAAAAGAGTAATGTTTATATTACCGCTCAATGGTACATTTTCTATGTGTAACCTTTTCTTTTTAATAATAATGCACGGCACAGCATTGGGCTTAATGATTGAACCTTTCGTTTTGTTGATGATATCTTCTTTTTGAAAATGATTTGAACATAATTTAGTTGTTGTGTTCAAAACTTTTTCGTTGATGCCACAAAAAGACAGCCATTTTTCACGAAATTCCTTATTTTTCGGAAATCTATTTTATATATAAACAAATAAATATAAAACATGTAATATCATTAAATAATATATAAAAATATAACCTATTTGTGATCACATAATTCAATGCATGCATATAATATTTTATACAGTTACTTACGTATAATATGAAACCAATTTATCGCGATTACCACACAACACACAATATGCGTTTGGCATTTTTGCTATGTATTTGACGTTTCTGTAATAATAACGTGTAATCAACGTGAAAACACATGTGAGATTGATAACTGAGATCAACGCATGCGCATTACAAACATTTGGGAGTCTATAGCTTTCTCTCTCGCACAGATGTTTGCTTCAGGCTCAACGTTCAATT